CTTCCTCTGTAGATGAGCTCCAGAGGTGATGACCCTGCACATTAACTTGATTCCAGCTCTAGTCACCAGTACAATTTAAACCATTTTCTTCTAGGTTACAGGAAGGTCCTGGTACCAGATTTCTTCCCACCCCCCCAAAAAAAGGCCTCAAAATAAAAAAACTACAAAACATAGCAGGCAGACATTCCTGGCTTTAGAGCAAGACACAGCATTAAAAGTTTACGAGTTTACAGTTTACAAGAACACAGAATGCCAGCTGGGTGTTTAACTAGGAGAGTCAGGTTGGTGCCAATCTGTTCCAGTTGTATGAGGAGACGAGTCTGGCTCACTGACCTGTGCTGCCTGTGTGAGAATGCAGCAGCAAGTTAAACCTTTGGGTGTGTCCTTTGGTGTTGAAAGTTGGGACCAGTAATAAGTTCTCATCCCCTTTCATGTGAGAATTGCCAGAATGCTGCAGCTGCACACAAATGATCCTTGGGAGTGCAGTGCAGTCTGTGCAATCCCAGCTGGTTAAGGGCTTGTGCTGACACCTGACTTAGTGGCACAAAAATAAAAGAATACTTCAGGGAAATGATGATCTGGCCTCAAAACTCAGACCATCTCTCTGTAAAATATATTTTCTCCACTGACTTTCTGCATAATGTTTTCTTACTTAAATGTTCTTCTGTGGTTCCATTTCTAAGAGGCTGGACCCCAAGAGCTTTCTGCAGAGCAAATACATCACACGCATTTTTCCTGTGGGACTACATCTATATTCTCTGAAGATTATATAGTGTACAGACTAAAGTCTTGGGGGTTGTCTTTACTCCTGCACCATAGTTATGCACTCATGAATTAAACAGTAAACTATTAACTGCAACTTCCAAAGAATGGGGCTTGGCAGGTAAAAACTGTTGCTGTTGACTGAGTTATTCTACTTCCTAAAGGAGATTCAAAATGCATTCAGACTGCTCTCCAGCCCTTGAAAATGCATACATGTCTTTTGTGCACATCCAGGGACATGTAATTCCCAGCTCCATCAGATTTTCTTTTTGTTGCTTTTGCATCCAGATTTCTTCTGCTCATAGCTGTGCTAGCAATCCTGTACCACAGTGAACACAAAGAGTCATGGTGCAAAACATGCCAGAGATATTCCTATCCAATGCAAATTGGAGCCAGGTGATGAGAAAGCGGACTCCAATGATAACCAGGGCTACCACCATGCCCAGTACTGTGCTTTGAGCTACTGTAGTCTCAGCTAGACAAGAACTGATTCATGATGGCAAGCAAGCCCAAAGCCTTTCTGAGTTGGGAATTCAAGCTCCCAAAAAGTAGAGGGCAATGACCTGCCTTTATAGCTTCCACTTTTTCCTATCTGTAGTAATAAAATGAAGCCTTTAAAGAGAGCCACAGAACCAAAGTAGCTGTGTAACAGGCAAGAAATCTCTCAGCCAGTCTCCTGCATCCCTACAAGATATTGGGATAGCAGATAATATATGAATGTTTAGGGGAGCTGGTCTCAGCATAGGTGAGTCACGAACCTCTATCATCCAAAGGATATTAGAAAACTAAGTAAATAGCTGCATTTTGATAGGAAAATGAGGGCACTGGGCTACCTGCTGGAGCCTTTTCTGTCAGCTTCTGGCTGACAGTTACTTTAAGGAAAAAATATATCACACACAAAGTGATAAAGTTTTTGCTGAAGCCATCAGCAGGGCAGGTGGACAGCAGGCCAGAGCTACAGCCCACAAACTTATCTCATGGGGATGGCAGTGAAAAGTCAGCAGGGATGCCAGGATCCAAGAAAAAATACCTTTTCCCCATGTCATGAGCTGGCCCTCCCTTCATATTCATGTGCACGGTCCTTCCATAATTGCTAGAGTTATTAGCGTCCCGGATTTAACTTGGAGAACAGGCAGTCAGAGTGTGCAAGAGGCTTCTGGTTTCTGTGTTTGCAAACTGGCTGTTGGTGGATAGAAAGGCCCCTGAGGAACCCCCCAATATGCGGGTGTGAGTGCTGCCTTGGTGTGCCAGGGATGCTTGTGTGGGCAGCCTTATTGCTGCCCATTGCTGGCTCAGTTATGCTGTGGTTGTCTGGACTGTAAGTGGTGAAGGTTTGTAGTAGGTATAGTCCTGCCCTGCTGAGAAAATTTCAGGTAAAGATATCTTTCCTGATCTGCAATACAGGAGGATGAAAAAGGTAATGAAGAGGGAAAATGGAGGATAATTCCTGTGCTTTTGCTGGACTGGCAGGGCAACTTGTCAGTCCTTGAGACTTAAAACATATCTTGGGCATCAGCATTCAATTGCTGTTTCTGAAAGTCAGCAAATACTAATGTGTTAATTAAAGAAACTAGTAGGAAATCCCAGCATGAAAGAGCTTGGCTTTGTATCTCCTCCATCTTGAACAGTACCAGTTCACCAGAACAGAATGTCACCAGTTTCCCTGTTGCCCTGGGACAGACAAACCATCTAAGTATTTTTTGGAAAATGACTGGGTTTTGTGTGCTGCTTCATGTGGAAGCAACAAGAAGTATGATGTCACCTTTTAAAATGGCAGAACTCTTGCAATAACACTGCTGGGACATGGGGAATACCTACCAGCCTTCTGGGAGAAGCCTCTACTACTCATTAAATCCCTTGCATCTAACGACAGTTACAGATGTACCAAAATAGCTATGGTTGCTAGGTAATCTGCACCATAACATGAAAATTTGGATTGAGTTTGTTGCTGCCTTGATAACTGAGATGGTAACTTAATATTTGATCCACATGTTCTGTGTGACACTGTGGTAAATACAAGACTCCTCCATCAGTTCAGAGGTAAGACGAGAGCACAACAGCAAAGAGCGACTGAAAATAAGAGGTCAGAGCATGTTGTGGTTTAACCCCAGCCAGCAACTAAGCACCACACAGCCACTCACTCACTTCCCCAGTTTACATACTAGACGTGCTGTCACATGGTATGGAATACCCTGTTGGCCAGTTTGGGTCAGGTGCCCTGGCTGTGTCCCCTCCCAACTTCTTGTGACCCTCCAGCCTTCTTGCTGGCTGGGCATCAGAAGCTGAAAAATCCTTGACTTTAGACTAAACATTACTTAGCAACAACTGAAAACATCCGTGTTATCAACATTTTTCTCTAGTATAGGAACTGGGAAGTGGGGGCGGGGAATCGCTGCTCGGGGACTGGCTGGGTGTTGGTTGGTGGGTGGTGAGCAATTGCACTGCGCATCGTTTGTACATTCCAATCTTTTCATTAGTGCTGTTGTCATTTTATTAGTGTTATCATCATCATTATTAGTTTCTTCTTTTCTGTTCTATTAAACCTTTCTTATCTCAACCCATGAGTTTTACTTCTTTTCCCAATTTTCTCCCCCATCCCACTGGGTGGGGGGGGAGTGAGTGAGTGGCTGCATGGTGCTTAGTTGCTGGCTGGGGTTAAACCATGACACCCACTCAGGCAAACCTACTGGAGGGACCAGAATCCTTGAGCTTCAACTGACCCCATACAGGAGCTGCTCACCAAGCCCCTGCTCAACTCCAGACCTGGAGCAATGTGCTGCAGGGTGACCACATCTGCCCAGCTGCCACACATTCGTGCCACCATACTTGCTCCTGCCTCTGTCCAATATGGCACTTTGCTGGCCCCTCAACACCCCCAAAGGCCATTGAACATGTCTCAGGCCTGCCATCAGCCCCAGTCATTCAGTTCCTCCTCTCTCCATGGTGTGCCAGCATAACGTCCTTCCTCTGGAGCTGCTCCTTTGCTTCTGGGCCTTGGTCAGTGCCCAAGAGGCACTGACAAGCCACCCACTTGCTTTCAGATGGGACAGATCCTTACAAAGCAATGCTATGGGTTGTTGCCTCCCTGGGCTCTCTGTCTCAAGCACTTCACATTGATGACTTGCCAAATTCGAAACCAACAGCAGCCTAGAGCCAGTATCACTGGGCACAGCACGAGCTGCCTTGTCCAGACAAGAAGAGGGCCCCAGCTAGTCCTGTCTCCAGCAGCTTTCCATCCACTCCATGAGTGCACAGAGTGCTTTGCCTCCTGGGTGCACGCTCTGCCCAGAGCCACAGGCAGTGGCTGTGTCCGACGTTGCCTGTGCTCAGCCTGCCAGCCCATCCAAACAGAGGGACATCCTCCCTCCCAGGGACCAGAGCCTGCCCTGGCACTGGAGCAGCAGCACCTGGGCTCTCCATGGCATGGCCTCTTTGCCAGCTGCTGACCCTGAGGGGGACCTACCTGCCTTGCTGCTGCGTGTTGGCTGGTGGTGACAGGCACGTCAGGACATGGCAGTTGCTCTGGGTCAGCCCGAAGGCCAGCCCAGAGCAGTATCTCCCTGGCAGTGGCTGAGAGCCTTGCTGGTGTCTGAGGCTGACAAAGTACGAGAATTATGAGAATGGATGGATGTGCTGAGGCTTTCCCTGAACACTGCCCCATTCCCCAAGTGCTCCTGGCTCAGGCACATCCTAATCCCATTTGTTGTGTGTGGAGTCAGGAGTGTGCACCTGGTTCTCCTCCCATGAATTTGTGTGGCAGATTTTTTGACCAAATGGAAACATTCAGCATCCACTCCCTTGGTGGTGAGGAGCTGTGCAGATTAATTACAAGTGGTTTGAAGAAGACGTGACACTAAATGGTCTCCAAAGGATGGTTCTTCTCATAGTGGAGGCACCCTCTGGGGCCATGAACATTGTCTCCAGAGCATCTGGGGTTTTGACACTGTAGCAGGCTGAAATGAGATAGAGCTGTTCCTATTCCACCACACATGAACTGTGCAAGTAACATTTTCAAATTTATGTTGCTGGTTTGGAAGGACCAAATGACATCTAATTTGATATGGACATCTGCACTGTCTTGGCCTGAGCAATTCTGTCAGTGATACATCCCTAAGGATACCAGACCAGACAGTTATTTTTATGGATGTTAATACTATTGCTCTTTGGGGCTGGGTTTCAGCAACATGGAGCTTGTTCTTCACTGACATCTTAAAATTTGAGGGGGAGGTTAGAACTCTCTAGGGAGTGAGTGTAGCATTTGACTCTGTCAGCTGCACAGAATATATTATCTCTGCCTGTAATAAGAACACAAAGATTTATACAATTCAGGACGTCATAAATTAATCTAAAATAATTATTTTTTTCTGCATTCAGGGAATTACACACATGGAAAAATTAATGTACACCCACATTTGTCCACACACTGTTTATGGTACTCTAATATTTTCCTTCTGTGTTGGTCCTGCGAAGGCTGTGCAGAGCTTGGACTCTTCCTGGGAAGAAATCTCTGCATGAATGCAAAGAGTGGTGACTTTTTCCTCAGAAAGCCATGAATGTTTCTGAACATGAATTCCATGATTCCACCTTGGTTCATCTTCCCAGTTGCAGTTTACTTATTGCCAAGTACATTCATCCAAATACAATTTTTTTTTTGGTAAGAGAACAGGTTCCTTTGTGTCAAGGGGTGAAAACCTTCCTAGGCTGATGTGATCAAAGACTTCCTGGAAGAGAGATTTCTCCACTGCTGGTTTTCCGTGGAGGGGGGATGGACACATTTTCTTCTTCGGCAGCAGGAGTGAGGTGGTAGAAAGGTCCCTGTTGTCTAGTCTCCATGGAATTCACCTGGAGAGAGGTCTCCTACATGGCATCAGAGTTCCTTAGGGAACTAGCACCATCATGTGTTGGGCATATCACAGGTACCCTGAGAAATGTCTGCAGCAGCTTCTCTGGCCCCCCCCAGTCTTCAGTATCAGAGACGGTAACAGGCACTAACTCAGCAAAGTTGTCAGGGAGTTTCCTGAATTTTAGCATGGAAGATTTCACACAGCAACGTGTTCCATGCTTAGATGTGTCCTGTCCTCCCTCCATTACAGCATTACCAAGCAGTTCCCAGAGCTTTTGGGAAAAGGACACAGTGAGTGGGGGTGTGGTTTGGGAAAGACATCCTTACAGCAGCGTGAAGGAAAGAAGAACAAACCTTTGCAGAGATGTGCTGGCTCCCCTCACTGCCCTTTTCTGCTGTCACCCTAGACACACTGAACAGGGAGGAGTGGGAAAGCCTGGAACTTCACTGCCACAGCCATCCACAGCCAGCATGGCTCAGTCAGCCCTAGGGCAGAACAGCATGGACATGCTTCTCCTAAGGGAACAGGGATGGAAGGAAGGGAAAACTGGGCCAGAGAGGAGTCTTAGAGCTGCTTTGCTGCTCTGGTGCAGTGCAGCTGGTGTAACACACCCTCTCAAGAGTATGAAAGCATCACTGACCCTGTGTCAATCTGACAGTCTTTTCCCTCCCAGAGAAGAATTCCAGTCCCCTGCCATGACAGGATAACCCTGTTGTGGGTCTCCCCATAGTTGTAGGGAGACAGGGCTGTTGATGGAGCCTTGCATTTAGCTCACAGGAAGGTGCTGGACTTCCAACAGTTCACTCTTGCCAGAGCAGCAGTTCCTTCATGTTCTCAGCTGAGATACCCATGTGGCAGTCCTGCCAGAGGCAGTCCTGTGGCAATGGGCTTGTTAACATGCCCAGGAAACAATCCATACATGCAATGGCTACTTGGATTATTTGGGAAGAGCCTGAGTGGCATGGCATCTACTAAACAGTGGATTATCTGCATAACAAGGAACTTTGGCTTCTGCTTTATGCAGAGCATTCAGGGCTCTTCTGATGCAGGCCAGCAAAGTGGTAGGCATGTGCAGGCAGAATGTGACTCCACTTTTAGTGTCACAATCAGCGAGTACAACGTGGCATGAATGAACCCTTTCCGTAGCATGGTATTGTATAACCTCCAGCAAGCAGCTCATCCAGAAGAGAATGCAGGTGGGTGCCAGAGAGTACAGGGAGCAGTAATCTCCTGCTAATAACATAAACAAAGAGAAGCAAAGTAAAAAAACCAAAAAAAGTAATGATGTGTCACAGTAATTCTGGAAAGATGACATTGCATTAGTCATTTTAGAACAGATGAAAAACAACTGACAGTTAGTTCAATATTCCCACCCCTCGTTATAAATCCAGTATTTAGAAGACACATGGTTCTTCCCCTAGCAATTCTCTCCCTAATGGTGAGAAATGTTTGGCATGTCATGAAAGTTTTCATTAAATGATTTTTTTTGTGATTTACAAATTGTTCTTGCTGAGTGGGCAAATTTCTACAAATTTTGCCAGGCAGAGAAACTTAACAAATATCCCTCTCATTCATTTGTTATCTATGACACTGCCAAAACTTCCTGAGAAGGACACTGTACTCCTGACAGTCCAGCTGGTACCTAAAAGAAGGTTGAGCTTTAAATTGAAAGCAAGAGTGCTGTCACAGAAAACAGAAGGATAGGAACACAGAACTAGACACCTTCTCAGTCTGTCTGTATCAATCAACATGTGTTACAAAAAATTCTGTAATCTCATCAGGTCCCAAATTACTATCAGTTACAATGAAGAACAAGACAGGGATGGAGAAAAATGTATGATATGGTGCTCACCACTGCAGTGACCAGAATTTGATGGCATCTTTCCAGATCTCAATTTCTATAAAATTTTTTTACCTCTAAAATTCTCAAAAGATGGACCTAGCATATAGGTGTTTGAGGATCAGAAATGTGCCTCTAATTCTCAAAACAAATTAGTATACGGTCTCTTTACATTCATTCATTTTGCTCCAAAGATTTTCCTTCTGCCTGAAGAGATTTTTTTCCTCCTTGTCATTTTTCTCCTCAGTGGAGTTATACAAATAAATCCATCTTGTATCAGCTTCATCTCGCTAGACTAAACAAGCCAATCTTTTCAAGTCACTCATCACAAACTAGGTCATCCATTCTCATGACCATTTTAATAATTCTGAGCTGCATTTGTTCCAGATAAGTGAATATTTCTCAACTGTTTCATCAATACTTGTTTTATTGAGATGATTCTTTATGATGAATGCATTTTCCCCATTCTTCAGTACAGCTATTGCATTCTTTTTTTTTTTTTTTTTTGCTATAGTTGACTCCCAGTTTGACAGATTCACATGACCACAAAATGGCATAAATCGTCTCTCAGGCTGGAAAGGATCACAGCCACATTTGCTACTTTGCAGGAATGTGTCTGTGTCCTTCAGCACAGGCAGCAGAACTGACATACTAATAGAAGTTGCTGTCTTCCAGCTGGAGTCACACGCAGCAGGAAGGCAAAAGTCACAGGCCAGATAAGAAGGAGCCAGAGGCACTCAGGGTAGAGAAGAGTGACTTAGGGTTTAGTTCCTGTTCTTTCAAATATGCATACATTTCATGTCTACAATTATGGAAAAAAATGAAAAAAATACATAATACAGGTTTTAACATTGAAAGGCATTCTGAAGGTCATCTCAGCTATGTATCTTCAGCTATTTTTAATGCTTAACATTGTTTCAGAAGTTGAAGCTCTGACTTGCAATCCCTTTTCAACTTTTTTCTACAGATCTCCTTGCATCTGTTGTTCCATGTGCTTCTTCACCACCCTTTGGAGAGGAAGAGAGACTAGGGGGGTTTGTATTTTTATTCTGTCTTTTGGCTTTTTGCTGGCCAAAGCAGCTTTATCAGACATCTCATGTCTTTTCTTCAGGAAAGCTTGAAACAGGATTATGACAGCAGTGACAACATTTTTCTGCATCTGCTAAAGCCACAGTTCCTGCCACAGGCATCAATGCATATCTCATTAAGGCCCCCATTTCCCCACTGTCCCTTGAGAAGGATTCCCTGCATACTTGTTAGCACAAGTCTAAATCCGAATCGGTCATTATGCCCAGCTCCAGTATCATGCTCCTGTTTGCAAGAACCTAAAAGAGTTGCTTTCATAACATGATCTAATATTTTAATTTATATTTAAATCTTCTCAGACTTTGCCATTTTGTTACATCATCATTCAGTCTGCAGAATGTCTTGTCCTCGTGTTTTCACCGGCTCTTTGTTGATACAGAAAGCTTTATTCCTGGGCCTTTCTGCATTTGCGAAATTACAGGACCCAGTTACTTCTGGGCTCCATGTCTAATAATAATATTATTCTCTAGTCATTCATAAGCCTGGTGACAATGTTTGTCCGTTTGCCTATTGAATAGTACACTACACTGATCTGTCAAAACCAAACTATGCCTAAATGTTCTGTGACATTTTGAGAGAGTCTCAGGAGAGTAGAAAAATAGTAAGTAACTTTAGTAAAACCTCTGAGAAGTCCTAATATTTCCTTAAAACATACAGACATACTGGAGACATAAAGATCAAGATCAAAACACTAAAGAAACCCTCTCTGCTGAATGAGTAGTAATCACACAGTCAGTGTCAAATTGGAAGAATGTACTGTGTTGTGCAGCAGTAAGTCGAGATGAGCATTACCATTAATATATGGATGGTAGATTACAGAGTTTTCACAGTGAATTTTCAGGTGCTCCCAGAAGTTAAGTGGCTGCAAACATACCAGAAGGCGGTACTGAAAAAGTGACACTGGAAAAATAAACTTAAACTGTCCCTTCAGACAAGAGATGTAACTCCATAAGGACAAGTACAAGCTATTCATATTATAAATAAAATATAAATTGCACAAGATGAAGAGCAACTGGTTAGGTCTCATTTTTCACAGAGAGAAGCAGAAATGCTGCAGCAGGGGCTAGGCATTCACTGTCACAGGGCTCATCAGGGGTGCCACGAGGTGCGCTGCACACATTATGTCTCAAAATGAACAATTGATTGTATAGTGCCAAGAGGCAGTGTGTTAGAGCTTCATGTTGAGTCAGAGCAATCCTACCTTCACAGAAAAGAGAGAAAGAAATCTCAGCGGTGCATGCTGTGACAGAAGTGTTGCACTGACAGTGCTCTCCATTGCAAACTGGAGCAACTACCAGGCTTCAGTAAGAGAGCAGATGAATGGGGTGGAACAGGAGACACAGAGAGACAGAGAGATGTGCAGTAGGGGCCAGGAGTCAGGAGAAGCCAAAAAGCAATAGGGAGGTGTGTAAAAAGGAAAGCTGGGTTCAAGCAGTGTGGAAAAGCTGTTACTGCTCAGCAGTAACTCTAATGCCCACCTGGTTCAGAGAGAAGTATTTCTTTCTTTCCCAAATCAATCCTTTTA